GTTTAGGGTAAGTTTAGGGTTTAGGAACACCTTTCGGATTCTCCGCAAGACTCGCAAGAGACTCTGAACCCTGAGCCCAGTAAGTCCTGCAGTACCCCCAGCCTTAAAACCCAAACCCAAAGCCCGGTACAAAATTGAGCCCTGATCCCTAAACCCTAGGGGTTTAGGGTTTGTAGGCTCCTAGACCCGAAACCCCTTAAGACCACCACGCTAAGCCGTGCTGGCCTGAAAGCATCGAACTTCGTTGCCAAGTGACGGCCGCAAGACACCTTGGGAGAAAGGGCTCCTAAAAGGGTCCCTCTCTCTTACAAGGGTACCTTTCGGGTGCCTTGGAAGCGTCCGATATCCAGGTTCCCTCCAAAATGCCTCTACAAGAAATACCATAGTACGGGTTCCTTTAAAGGTAGAGACTGGCTGCCTGTCAAACATAAGGGGTTTTCGGGGTCGAGGTTGTGGATGTACGGCTTTCTCAGTCTAGCATGGCTTGTCGGGTGCATCGTTCATAGAGCTCAGGTGCTCAGAGTAGCAGGGATTGGTCAACTCCTGCAAGCCGTTGATCGTCGCGGCAGCATCCCTCGGCGGAAAGCTGCTCGATCACCATGAATCCTGAACCCTTGACTTAATGCCCTTAGCCCCAGCATCCTACACACTCCCCAGAAACCCCCGCTACTGCTACCTATTATAAGTACTAAGTTATACACTGGGTTATGAGGACCATCAGGTTTATACATCACCCTGTAGGTAACCCTCGGAACGCGAAGCCCTTAAGCAAAATCCCGTAAGCTCATAAACCGTAAACGCATAACCCTACACACGAAACCCAACAACGCTAAAACAAATAGCTATTATACCAAACCGGAAAACCACAGAACCCCGAAACAACCCTGCACCCTAAACCNNACCCTAAATCCCTGAAACCCTAAACCACCATGAACCATGGGGCTGAACCGCAGCAATCATCGAGTTGAATCAGCAACATTGCAGTTCCCGTCTATGTAGGCGCCTTAATAATTCCATCATACTCTGCTTGGAATAAGGAAACCCCAAAATAGTATANNAGTATAGTTAATTATGTAGGCCCCTAGATTAGGCCCCTTGCAGTCCCCGTATAGGCCCGTTACAGGAATCGCATACAGCATCGAATCTGGGGTTTCTTGCCAGTTTCCCAGACGCCTTTTGCTTCCGCTCCTGGCGACTATTGTATTTCTAGAATCTATAATCCATAGGTTTCAGGACTCAAGGTTTAGAGATTTGAATTGAAAAAGATTGGTGACTCGTTTTTGGAAGATGCGAAAAACAACTCTACATATGCTTGTTTAACGCATTTTGCGAGGAGTCTGTGTTGAGATTTATAGGGCCTCAATATGCTTCTTTCTGTGCTTGGCCAGGGTGGATGCGTTTGAAAGGTTTCGGGAAGGACAAGGGCCGTTGGTTGAGGGATGTAATATAGAGGACTTAATAATTAGAATAGGGTCCTTGGGCCCATGAAACAAGAATTACAATAAGGTATGTAGGATTTTTTTCAAGGCCCCTATACTAACCAGGCTAAAGGGATTTTGGGGATTGGGCCTGGGCTGCTATCGCTTGAGCTTCCGAGTTGTGCGTTGTTTGAGGCTTGTGAGTTTGGCTTCAACCCCAAACCCTAAACTCAAAAC